ATACTAAATAGAATTGTATGGAGATAAGACTTGCGATAAGTCTATCTCTTATAGTTGAATTTATGATTTCATATTCATGTACATTCATCCATATATATATTGGATACAGTGATTTCATGCATAATTCATTTATGCTTTAATATAGTATTATATGAAAGAATGCAGTTGTCAGATAATCAATCCAGGTATGTGAAATAATGGAAATGATCATATGCGTACATGTGAAGTGAAATATGTGTTTATATGAAAAGTGATGAAAATGATATGAAAATGAGAAATGTAGTCATATTTAAGCCTATGTTATTTAATATGAGAGTTGTAGGTATAATTGGCATGCCAAGAGTCGAGGGATATACAATGGTCCTTCGGGACATACACAGTGGTCCTTCGGGACATAGTGGTCTTTCGGGACAAATATTCAGTGCCCCTAGTGGGAATTTATTTGAGCTGTGGTGACAGCATTCGTGCACAACCTCAGTGTACTCATTTACCTCATGTTCTCAATAATGTACATGAGCAATACAAAGATAAAGTGTAATAAACTTGCATAAGAAGATAAATTTCATATATGCATGACATGATCATATATGTTGTAGTGTAATGGATACATGCAGGTTATAATGTTACGATTGAACGGTAAGAGTGCATGTTTCATGTATTCATTGTTATATATTTTATTATGCCTCACTAAGTTTATGACTTAGCGTGTAAGTGATTTACACGTAGGTACCAAGAATCAAGAATAGCAGAAATAGAAGTGACAAGAACAACAACACTGCTAGAAGATCAGATCAGAAGTAATTGATAAAGTATGTATTTTGATTATGTATAGTATGTTGGCATGTAAGAAATGTTTTAGTACGAACGCTTTGATTGAATTTCTAATGTTTTAAACGTATTTATGTAAATGTAAACGTATAGTAATGAACGGTTCAATTTTTACGAGTTTTATGTACGTTTTACAAAAGTTACTGTAACAGTGCATCGATACACAATTTTTCTTTGATATTTTTATGCATCGATGCACTGTAGCACTGTTCATTATTGTTTATGGTATTGTTCATTATTGTTCACATTATTGTTCATACCTTATTTTACTGTTCATTAAATGTATATTTTCTTAATTTGGTTATAACGAACATAATTCAATAATATATCATCGTATTTTCTTAAAATAAGTTCAAATATTATATTATTTGGTAAGAATTTTGTTTTAAAAAGTCAATGTGACATCTTGGACTCGTATTCGGGTCGAGTACGAGTTAGGGGTGTTACACATTTAGCCTTAACATCTCTTTAAATAATTAGGCATGAGTGGGGATGTAAATGAATATGAAACAAGGTTATGAGGATCAACAACATAAATATTACAATTTCGAACATAATACGAACAAATTAACTGAAATGGAACCAATCTTAAATTATCAAACCCAAGTCAAGAATTTTTCATGACATTTAAATAATGCAGAACGACTAAAATACAAAAATGAAAATGTTGAAGATTCAAAATCATCAATATCACCTTCATTTTAGGACTAAAACAAGAGATTACAAGATGTGAAGGACCTAAGCTTTTATTTTCCCCTAAAGAATAAAAACAAAGGTATAGGAGTGAAGAAACGACGTCGTTTTGGGTTTGATATAAAATCATAAAAATGAGACATTATCCTTAAGATTTGCTCATTTTACTCTGATTTTCTAAAAATAATTAAGAGAAATCTCTCAAATCCTCTCTCTCCACTTTTTTCGGATTATGGTCGACCCTCAACGAAGCACTCCATCGGTGTTCACAGATGCTGGAGTTTAAAGCTCCTAACCTAAAATGTTTATCATTCTCTCAGAAATCCAAAAACACTAACAAGTCCACCGAAAATCACTCACCTCGCCCTATATCTAAGGATTTTGAAGGATTACCTTCGTTTCTTTATGGGTGAAATTCCTTATCCAGTGAAGCTTAGGCTTTACAATGAACGTCTAGCAAGGTAAGACTTTTTCTTTCTCTTCTTCTTTCTTTTCTTTTTTCTTTTACCCTGATTCATCTTCTAGTGGTTGCTCTCTGTTTGAATAGCCATCCTCCTCTTTTGGATCATCTCTGCATGTTATATCTGGTGGTTATTTCTTTGAGTACTTGGTGAAGCTATAACATAGGGGCATGATTATCTTAACTCAAGCGTTTCACATTCTGGATTTTTCGGGATTCTCCTTTATTTGAATGGATCTTGTTATTTAATATATATTTTTGGCTTTCATTGTTTAATTGACACGTTGATTACCGTATGAAAAGATAACGTGTGTGTGTGTGTGTGTGTGTGTGTGTGTGTGTGTGTGTGTGTGTGTGTGTGTGTGTGTGTGTGTGTGTGTGTGTGTGTGTGTGTGTGTGTGTGTGTGTGTGTGTGTGTGTGTGTGTGTGTGTGTGTGTGTGTGTGTGTGTGTGTGTGTGTGTGTGTGTGTGTATGTATGTATGTATAATCTAATAATAATAACAATGAGCAAATAAATAAATTGAACAAAATATAGTGTCTATAGTTGCCATTTTTTTCCCATTGTCGGGGGACGAGAATTGGGAAAAGACTAAAGACATTATTCTGTCTAGTCTTAATGTTTACTCTGAATCTAGATTCCCTCGTTCCGAGGTAAAGAATCTGAAAAAGACTTGTTCAATGGTTACGAGGAAGTCGAGTCACATTTTGACGTCATTACTTTATTTGACGACTCTAGGGTTGCCGACGACATTCTTCATGTGTGATGAGGATGTCTGGCCGTATTTGTCTAACTGTGTATCTGAAGACAAAATGGTTTCTTCGTGTTGAGGAAGTCTAATTGCCTTTAGATAATTTGCCTTTGATGACGACATTGCTCATTCATGTTGATGAGGTCTAGTCAGTAAACAACATGGTTCCTTCGTGTTGATGACATTTAGTCATTTTTGATAATATATACAACATTGTTCCTTCATGTTGAGGACGTTTGATTGTCTAGAGATAATTTGATTTTGTAAAGGACACTGCTCCTACACGCTGAGGAGATTTGATCGCTCATGGGTGATTTGCTCGATGTCAAATCTGGTGATGACATTGTTCATTCACGATGAGAAAGTTCAGTCATGATTGAAAGATGGTTGATCTACTACTAAGAGGGATGGATCTTTCACATTTTGTTAAAAACAAGTAATATACTATGATTCCATATGTGTCATATGCAACGTGTCTTGATAACTCCGTAAAAAGGCTATATTTAGTCTTTTTTACTTAAGTTATTGATTGTCTTAAGGCACATTTAGGCCGAGGCAAGGTGTTGGCCAAGTGGATGATCAAGCATATCAAAATGCTGAGGCAATTCCAAATGTTGGGAATACTGCTAGGCCCCGTGCTATTAACGATCACTTAAATCCTATTTTGGACAATCTAAATACTTGTATTGTGGCACCCTAGATTCAGACAACCCACTTCAAACTCAAACCAGTCATGTTTAATATGTTGAATTCTATAGGGCAATTTGAGGGTATACCTTATAAAGATGCAAGGCAACACATCGGTCCTTTCTTGGAGGTTTGTGATTCCTTCAGGCAACAAGGAGTGCACAAAGATGTGTTGAAGCTCAAGTTGTTTCCATATTCATTGTGTGACTGATTAAAGGCTTGGTTGAGTGGAGTTCCATCTGGATCGATGAAGTCTTGGTCTGATATATGCAAAAGTTTTTTGTTGCGGTATAATTCGTCGAACACGAACACTCAACTTAAATGACATAGCATCTTTCCATCAATCTGATGACGAGTCTATGTATGAGTGTTGGGACCGATATAAGGGATTGTTTCGTAAGTGTACAAATCATGGTTTTCAAGATTGGAATCAAGTCATGTTTTATGATGGAGTCAATACACCTAGGAGAATGATGCTAGATGTATCGGCAAATGGGACTTTGCTAGATAAATCACCTGAAGAGGCTTTTAACATTCTAGATAGGATTGTAAGCAATGATTACCAATTCCCCTCTTCAAGGCTTGGAACTGGGAGGAAGTCACCTGGGACCTATGAGTTAGATGCTAAGGACTCATTGTCCACCCAATTTTCAGCTATCACAAGTATGTTGAAGAATTTACAACGTTCCAACGAGGTGGAAGAAGTGAAGGCAGTTAGTTCAGTATGTCTGTTATGACATGGCAATCACCATGAGAGTGAATTCCCAAAAAACCATGAGTCCATCAACTTTGTGGGAAATTTCAACCTAGGCAACAACACCTACAACCCAGTATGACATCAACATCTTAACTTTTCATGGGGAAATCAAGGAGCCAACAATGCTAGTCACTCTACTCGGTAGCAGAATATCAATGAACCCCCAACCTATCAAACGAATATGCCATGGCATAATTTTAACAAGGAGAACCATATTCTTCAAATTCAAATTCTTTGGAGGCTACTATACAAGATTTTATAGTAGTTACCAAGACCATGCTGCAAGACCATGCCACTACAATTAATAATCAAGGTGTTCTACTTCAAAGTCAATGAGCTTTACTGCAAATCCATAGCTCATCTTTAAGAGCTTTGGAGGGTTAGTTTGGTCAAATTATCGTGGCATTACAAGAACGTCAATCAGGACGTCTGCCTAGTGACACTGAGGTCACTAAAGCTCATGGCAAAGAGCATTGTAGTGCACTCACTCTAAGGAGTGACACTCAAATCAATTTACAAGAAAAGTTTGGGGGAAAGAAATCAGATGATTTTACCCCCACAATCGTGCAAGCTAACTATGAGATACAACATGATGAAACTATTGTAGAGAATGATAAAAATAAGGGTTCATCCAGTGAGCCTACTAAATGAGAAAAAAAATGCCACAGCAAAAGTAGTCCCCACCTCGTCAATAGAAGAAGTTAGACCCCACCTCCCTTCCCGCAAAGATTGAAAAAACACAATTATGATATTAAATTTAAGAAGTTTGTTGACATTCTTGACTAGCTCTATAATAACATCCATTTCCTTGAAGCCATAGAACAAATGCCCACTTACGCTAAATTTCTCAAGGTAATTGTCACCAAGAAGAGGAAAGTTGAGAAGTACGAGACAGTTACCATGACAAAAGAATTTTGCTCAGTATTGAGCAAAATGCCACCAAAGCAAAAATATCCGGGTAACTTTATTATTCCATGTTCTATAGGAGACAACTATGTTGGAAAGACACTTTGTGAGTTTTACTCGAGTGTGAACTTAATGCCCAAGTCAATATTTTTGAAGCTTAGGATGGGAAATGCAAGACCCACCTCCGTTATTTTACAATTAGTCGACTGTTCCCATGTTCTTCCCAAAGTGAGGGTCGAAGATGTCATTGTGTGGGTGGACAAATTTGTGTTCCCAGTGGACTTCCTTATACTTGATTGCGAGGTTGATACTAATTTACCCATAATTTTTAGGAGGTCTTTCCTAGGCACTGGTTGTATTCTTATTGATTGTGAAAATGGTGAACTCACCATGAGAGTGGTCGACCAATGTGTGACTATGAATGTCTTTTGTACTCTCATATTTGTTGATGACTCAGAAGAATACTAGAGCATTTTTGAAGTGGATTCATTGATAGAAAGAGAAGCTGATCAATTTTGCCACATTAATTTCATACAGTTGGGTAATGAAGAGGAAATGATGAACTTCTCAACTCAGTTTATTATGTTTGTAAATATTAATATTTGAATCTCAAACTTTATTTAAAAAAATATAATATCTCATCTCACTAAACCAACTTATTATCGATACATCCAAATCGATTTTACTGTGTTTATTACAAAAACAAGTTTAAATTTTAGGAATATTGTAGGTGGTAAAAATTTTAACAATGAAGGTGGTTGAGAATTATTTTGAGATTTAAATCATTTATTATTGTGCACGTGAAACTCGTTATGTGGAGGTGACAAGTTTTATAAAATATATTAGAAAATAAAAACTCATAATATGAAATAAATCAAAATTATATAAAATTCGTTACCACGTAATAAATTACCTAAATATTAAAATAATTCTTAACCACTCTCGGTTTTTAAATTTTTCTCCGACATGCATTATTTAGCTAAAGACACCAAAAAGATATATTCCGTTTTTATATTTGCCGTCTTTTGCTTTTATAAAAAGCATGTGGCCGTCCGCTTCAGTGTCTTCTTGATCACGAGTCAAACTTCCTCTGTATTTCAAAGTTTTCGCATTTTGTGTAGAGATTACGAGCTTTCTGTTTGCTGTACCGAGATGGAGAATGCAATCGAGTTCTTCGAGTTGAACACCGGAGTCAAGATGCCGTCCGTCGGCTTGGGAACATGGCAGGCTCCACCTGGCCTCGTTGGCGCCGCCGTTGCCGCTGCCGTAAAGGTCTATAGTTGTCACTGCTGTTGATAATCGGAAATGAAATTCTCTTACTGTATATTTTGTTGTTTAAAAACAATGATATGTACCTCTACGTTTTCATTTTCTATTCAGATTGGATACCGCCATATCGACTGCGCTCAAATATATGGAAACGAAAAGGAGGTGAATTACGCTCTGTTTGGATCCGTCATTTTCCCTTGTTTTGAAATTTATCATTTTATTCAGAAGGAAAAAAAACTCGTATAAACGCAATATCTTGTAATCAATGCAATTACTATTTGTATTTTAGCCTCTTTGTGCAAAAGCGATGTTTGGATGCTGAAGAAATAACACTAGCCGAATAAATGAAGTCAACTTTTATTTCTTTAATTGAATAGCTAGTTATTGGTACTGACCAGATCTGTGTGTGCACGTCTTTGTTTGTTTTAGATCGGTATGGTTTTGAAGAAGCTGTTTGAAAATGGTGTGATCAAACGTGAGGAGCTATTTATCACCTCCAAACTCTGGTTCGTTTTCATTCTAGCATATTCTTCTTATCATGGATTTTCCTTCTAGGCTTATATCATAAATAAGTTTCTAAATATAGCTTTCTTTTTTGTCAAATAAGTTCTTAAAATATACCACCATTTTCATCTACGTATGGAAGTTTTTTTTTTTTTGGTGTACTTTAGTTATTACTTTGGCCAAAAAATGTGTTATACTTTAGATATCTATTGCTGAATTAAGCCTTCTTTTTATTAAAGATTATTTTCTAAGACCAAGTTATGCACAGGTGTTCTGATCATGCACCAGAAGACGTGCCGGCAGCAATAGACCGAACTTTGAAGGATCTTCAGCTTGACTATGTTAATTTATACCTTGTATGTAGTGCTTGATCATAGCTACTCTATTTGAAACCATGTCTGTATTGTTTATACTGTTGAATGTGCTGCTTAAAAAGAAGTTTCTTGACTATGTCATTGAATGATAATGCTAAGTAGAAACTATTGCATGACACCAAGTCCAATTATTTTATTTGCACAACAACACCAAGTCCTTTTAGTATACAAGCTTTGCCTTGTCTAATTTTAAGAATAAAATTTAAAAGACGTCGAGTTTTCAACTTTAAAGTTTTTTTTAGCATAGCGTATTATTGAATTGGTGCTTTTCAAGTGTGGCTAATACGAGGATTTGTTTGATTTTAAGATCCACTGGCCAATTCGGATTAAGGAAAGGTCGCTTGGTTTTAATCCTGAGAACTTTCTTGAGCTGGACATATCTAGCACATGGAAAGCAATGGAGGCACTCTATGACTCTGGTAAAGCTCGGGCTATTGGTGTTAGCAACTTCTCTTCAAAGAAATTAGGGGATCTTCTGCAGGTGGCACGCGTTCCTCCAGCCGTCAACCAGGTTGAGTGTCATCCTTCATGGCAACAGAGTAAGCTACGTGAATTTTGCAAATCCAAGGGAGTGCACTTATCGGTGAGCATGCGAATTCTTGTTCCACTTCGCGTCGATTATTGTTCGGGTCCTTGCCGTTGTGTTGGTCAAAATTAATGAAGTGGCATACATATATTTCAGGGTTATTCACCGCTGGGTTCTCCGGGCACAACATGGCTCAAGAGTGATGTTCTTAAGCATCCAATTCTAAATATGGTTGCACAGAAATTAGGCAAAACTGCTGCACAAGTTGCTATCCGTTGGGGCCTGCAGATGGGTCATAGTGTGCTTCCGAAGAGCACGCATGAGGAGCGGATCAAGGAGAACTTTGATGTCTTTGATTGGTCTATTCCTGATGACTTATTTGCCAAGTTTTCCGAAATTGAACAGGTTAGATGCTATACTGTTGCTCATAAATTTTAAATTCTGATAACACTCTTGCTCCACTATATTTTCTCCAAATTTATGCTCGTTTTCAATTATATAGGCTCGACTGGTCAGGGGAAATTCATTTATCCACGAGACTCCTGGTGCATACAAGACCGTCGAAGAACTCTGGGATGGTGAGATTTGAGTGATGATTCAATACAGAAGCAATGGAGCAGAAGAAGATAGATCAAAGAGGAAAAGAGAAGCTGTTTGTGGTGAGATTTGCCTATTGGTTCTCGACAACTATAAAAACAGTAATAATCATTTTGAATTTGATATTGGCATTGTTTAAATTTTAAATTTTGAAGGCTGTGAATCGTGATGTTTGTAGCAGGTTGCTCAAGTTCCTCACACTTCCTCGTTTTGGAACTTGTTCTTTATATTCTCTTGCCCAAAATAGGAGAATCAATTTGGTTGCCAAGTCATTCGATTGTGACTTGGTTGGCTGGCTACCCACAACATTGCATTAAAGGAAACAACTTGAACTTCCAGTGATGAGAATTTCACACCATTTATAGCCAACAAACATGGAAGTTGGATCCTAAAATGTTTATCCATTAATTATGATAAAAAGGGTGAAAACAACTTAAAAGTAACAATAAAGAGTAATCCCATACCTAAGCAGATCCCTATGTCTGTGTAATAGAGTTTATAGAGCAAGATCCCTATGGATGTGAAAAAACAAAAAGGAAATATCTCCTTGCATCTTTAGAACCAGACTGTAATAGAGTCTACAGAGCAAGATCCCTATGGCTGTAAATAACCCCTTTGTCACCATCCACCACCTGGCCACTCCCCCTCAATAGCCTACAATTTTAACAAGTAATTAGATTGAAGCTAAGTGCATATCGAGTCATCGACTTCAGATTATAATCTAAGAAAATTGCGATGCGTATAAAGACCGGAAACTCGCATACCATCGAGTAGTTAACAATCCTTCAACTCCGACTGGACCTCGGGCATGTATCCTGCTGGTACTTATTCCAACCTGTTAAAATCCATGCATAAAATGAAAATAGTTCAGAAAATCGACTGTGGAGTTCAACAGCCGGAATTTGGAATTTCGCATACCTCGGCACCAAGTCCAAATCGGGCTCCATCACAAAATCGAGTGCTTGCATTATGAAAAACTGCAGCACTGTAACAAAAACATGGTCAAATAGAAATGTCGTCAACATCATCCCAGCAACGAGGAAGAAAAGAGTTACTCGAGTTAAAGATTGCAATGCATGAATAACTGTGGTAACAATGAGGTGAAGTGATAATGGTACACTTATGTGACTGTCAACTCGGAACTAAACCTACCTGTCAACTCCGTGTAAGAAAATTTCAGCAGCTTCATGATTTTCCGTGACAATACAATCAGTGTGAGAACTGCAGAGCAAGCAAGGTACTTAGAATCTGGCTATTCACAGGAATAAACAAATTAATGAAAAGAAACCGAATTAAGAGTTCCGAGGGAATGGTATGCCTTCCATGTTGATGTATATGGTCAATAGCAGCCTGCACGTCATCCACAATTTCAACTGTGCAAGCCATTGAACTGTACTCTTGATGAAATGAATGTGCTTCTGGAATATTTAACAAGGAACTTGCTCTTGGTCCACCATAAAGGATCACCCCTGCAGCAGATAATCCCGTCGGTAGTTGATATATTTCTTAAGTCCAGATAATTGTTGGGAACTACTATAACTTTAGCCGCATGCAATAAACTCAACAAAATGAAGAAAACAAAAAAATGGAGTGGCCTTCAGACCATTGAACTTAGCAGGCTCAAGACAGAATCTTATACACACACACACAAATATATTCAAGCCTCAATGGTTTAACACAAAATTGCTATACTTCCATTTCAGTCACGCATAATGTCATCAAGCACCAATTAAAATGTCTTTCCATATACGTGCAATTTTGCAAAGGCATAGTCGTAAATTAACTAATGTTGCTTGGTATTAGATAAAATTCTGTATTCAAAATTTTATTGCTAGGAAAAGTTGGTATTTGAACAACCCTTTCAATTAGATAGCTCAAAAAGGTTGACAGCATGATCATGTAAGAACAAAGCTATGAAAACCACCAAATTGATTGAATCCAGCATATTTAAAAACTGTAAGTGATCTATAATTTTGAAAGTACTAGGTAGGTAGAAAATCGCTCGTATAAGCATACCTTCACGTTGGAGTATCATAATAAGCTCATTGAGCAAACCATTACTTGAGAGATCCTCGTGTACAAGAAGTGTTTCCTGTAGACAAAAATGGTCAAGACTTAAGAGCTTCAAAGTAAACAGTAAAAAGATAAGAAAGTTGTACAGGATAAATTAGAATATGAAACAGACTGCACTTGTAAAC